GTCTTGGGCCGTCTGGAGGCCGTCTTGGGGGACTCTTGGGCCATCTTGGGGGTATCTTTGGGGCCTCTTTGCCTGTTTTGGAGCGTCGGGGAGCCGGAAAGGCGGAAAAGCAAAAAACATCGAAAAACACGTTGGAAAATCAGCAATTTTAGACTCTTTGGGCCCTCTTGGCACATTTGGGACCTCAAGGCTGTCTTGGAGACCTCTTGGCCCGTCTTGGGGCCATCGTGGGCGTCTTGGAGCGGTCGTTTGGCGTCTCGGAGCCTTCGTGGGCCGTCTTGGAGGCCTCTAGGGGGCTTCGTGGCCCGTCTTGAGGCCCTCTTGGGCCAGGAAAAGCCTCGTGGATCGCTCGTCCCGGACCCCTCCCCACCTCCAAATCGGCTCTCTAGGGCCGTCTTGGGGACCTCTTGGGCCGTCTTGGGGCCGTCTTGGGCTGTCTGGAGGCCGTCTTGGGGGACTCTTGGGCCATCTTGGGGCTATCTTTGGGGCCTCTTTGCCTGTTTTGGAGCGTCGGGAAGCCGGAAAGGCGGAAAAGCAAAAAACATCGAAAAACACTCTGGAAAATCAGCAATTTTAGACTCTTTGGGCCCTCTTGGGAAGCTCATTTGGGACCTCAAGCCGTCTTGGAGACCTCTTGGCCCGTCTTGGGGCCATCGTGGGCGTCTTGGAGCGGTCGTTTGGCGTCTCGGAGCCTTCGTGGGCCGGCTTGGAAGCCTCTTGGGGGCTTCGTGGCCCGTCTTGAGGCCCTCTTGGGCCAGGAAAAGCTCCGTGGATCGCTCGTCCCGGACCCCTCCCCACCTCCAAATCGGCTCTCTTGGGCCGTCTTGGGGACCTCTTGGGCCGTCTTGGGGCCGTCTTGGGCTGTCTGGAGGCCGTCTTGGGGGACTCTTGGGCCATCTTGGGGCTATCTGTGGGGCCTCTTCGCGCGTCTTGGAGCGTCGGGAAGCCGGAAAGGCGGAAAAGGAAAAAACATCGAAAAACACTCTGGAAAATCAGCAATTTTAGACTCTTTGGGCCCTCTTGGGAAGCTCATTTGGGACCTCAAGGCCGTTTTGGAGACCTCTTGGACCGTCTTGGGGCCATCGTGGGCGTCTTGGAGCGGTCGTTTGGCGTCTCGGAGCCTTCGTGGGCCGTCTTGGAAGCCTCTTGGGGGCTTCGTGGCCCGTCTTGAGGCCCTCTTGGGCCAGGAAAAGCCCCGTGGATCGCTCGTCCCGGACCCCCCCCCCCTTCACATCGGCCCTCTTGGGCCGTCTTGGGGACCTCTTGGGCCGTCTTGGGGCCGTCTTGGGCCGTCTGGAGGCCATCTTGGGGGAGTCTTGGGCCATCTTGGGGCTATCTTTGGGGCCTCGTCGCGCGTCTTGAAGCGTCGGGAAGCCGGAAAGGCGGAACAGGAAAAAACATCGAAAAACACTCTGGAAAATCAGCAATTTTAGACTCTTTGGGCCCTCTTGGGAAGCTCATTTGGGACCTCAAGCCGGTCTTGGAGACTCTTGGGCCGTCTTGGGGCCATCGTGGGGCAGTCTTGGAGCGGTCGTTTGGCGTCTTCGGAGCCTTTCGTGGGCCGTCTTGGATGCCTCTTGGGGCTTCGTGGCCCGTTTGAGGCCCCTCGGGGGCCTAGGAAAAGCCCGTGGATCGCTCTCCGGACCCCCCCCCCCCCCCCCCCCCCAAATCGGCCCTCTTTGGGCCGGCTTGGGGACCTCTTGGGCCGTGTGGAGGCCGTCTTGGGGGTACTCTATGAGGACCATCTTGTGGCTATCTTTGGGGCCTTCCTATCGCGCGTCCTTGGAGGTTCGGAAGCCAGCAGGAAAGCGGAAAAAAAGCAAAAAACATCGAGAAACACTCTGGAAAATCAGCAATTTTAGACTCTTTGGGCCTTCTTGGGAAGCTCATTTGGGACCTCAAGGCCGTCTTGGAGACCTCTTGTCCCATCTTGGGGCCATCGTGGGCGTCTTGGAGCGGTCGTTTGGCGTCTCGGAGCCTTCGTGGGCCGTCTTGGAGGCCTCTTGGGGGCTTCGTGGCCCGTCTTGAGACCCTCTTGGGCCAGGAAAAGCCCCGTGGATCGCTCGTCCCGGACCCCTCCCCACCTCCAAATCGGCTCTCTTGGGCCGTCTTGGGGACCTCTTGGGCCGTCTTGGGGCCGTCTTGGGCTGCCTGGAGGCCGTCTTGGGGGACTCTTGGGCCATCTTGGGGCTATCTTTGGGGCCTCTTTGCCTGTTTTGGAGCGTCGGGAAGCCGGAAAGGCGGAAAAGCCAAAAACATCGAAAAACACTCTGGAAAATCAGCAATGTTAGACTCTTTGGGCCCTCTTGGGAAGCTCATTTGGGACCTCAAGGCTGTCTTGGAGACCTCTTGGCCCGTCTTGGGGCCATCGTGGGCGTCTTGGAGCGGTCGTTTGGCGTCTCGGAGCCTTCGTGGGCCGTCTTGGAGGCCTTTTGGGGGCTTCGTGGCCCGTCTTGAGGCCCTCTTGTGCCAGGAAAAGCCTCGTGGATCGCTCGTCCCGGACCCCCTCCCCACCTCCAATCGGCTTCTTGGGCGTCTGTGGGGGACCTCTTGGGCCGTCTTGGGGCCGTCTTGGGCTGTCTGGAGGCCGTCTTGGGGGACTCTTGGGCCATCTTGGGGCTATCTTTGGGGCCTCTTCGCGCGTCTTGGAGCGTCGGGAAGCCGGGAGGCGGAAAAGGAAAAAACATCGAGAAACACTATGGAAAATCAGCAATTTTAGACTCTTTGGGCCTTCTTGGGAAGCTCATTTGGGACCTCAAGGCCGTCTTGGAGACCTCTTGGCCCGTCTTGGGGCCATCGTGGGCGTCTTGGAGCGGTCGTTTGGCGTCTCGGAGCCTTCGTGGGCCGTCTTGGAGGCCTCTTGGGGGCTTCGTGGCCCGTCTGGAGGCCCTCTTGGGCCAGGAAAAGCACCGTGGATCGCTCGTCCCGGACCCCTCCCCACCTCCAAATCGGCCCTCTTGGGCCGTCTTTGGGACCTCTTGGGCCGTCTTGGGGCCGTCTTGGGCCGTCTGGAGGCCGTCTTGGGGGACTCTTGGGCCATCTTGGGGCTATCTTTGGGGCCTCTTCGCGCGTCTTGGAGCGTCGGGAAGCCGGAAAGGCGGAAAAGGAAAAAACATCGAAAAACACTCTGGAAAATCAGCAATTTTAGACTCTTTGGGCCTTCTTGGGAAGCTCATTTGGGACCTCAAGGCCGTCTTGGAGACCTCTTGGCCCGTCTTGGGGCCATCGTGGGCGTCTTGGAGCGGTCGTTTGGCGTCTCGGAGCCTTCGTGGGCCGTCTTGGAAGCCTCTTGGGGGCTTCGTGGCCCGTCTTGAGGCCCTCTTGGGCCAGGAAAAGCCCCGTGGATCGCTCGTCCCGGACCCCCCCCCCCCTTCAAATCGGCCCTCTTGGGCCGTCTTGGGGACCTCTTGGGCCGTCTTGGGGCCGTCTTGGGCCGTCTGGAGGCCATCTTGGGGGACTCTTGGGCCATCTTGGGGCTATCTTTGGGGCCTCGTCGCGCGTCTTGAAGTGTCGGGAAGCCGGAAAGGCGGAACAGGAAAAAACATCGAAAAACACTTTGGAAAATCAGCAATTTTAGACTCTTTGGGCCCTCTTGGGAAGCTCATTTGGGACCCCAAGCCGTCTTGGAGACCTCTTGGCCCGTCTTGGGGCCATCGTGGGCGTCTTGGAGCGGTCGTTTGGCGTCTCGGAGCCTTCGTGGGCCGTCTTGGAAGCCTCTTGGGGGCTTCGTGGCCCGTCTTGAGGCCATCGTGGGCCAGGAAAAGCCCCGTGGATCGCTCGTCCCGGACCCCCCCCCCCCCCTCCAAATCGACCGGACCAGGCTCCCGGGGGAGGGGTTTGGGGAGGGGGAAGCATCTCACACGCCGATGATCCCCAAGGGCCAAGGGGTCGGCGGATTTGGATCGGGGCCCCTATTCGTGGATGAGGCTCGCTGTGACCAGGAAAGCACCTTCGCTCCTTGTTCAGCGTTCCTCATGGTGGCACGATGTCTGTAGATGTGTGTAGCATCATGCAGCATTTGTGCACCCCACTAATGCCGCATCGCCGGAGCAGTAACTCTGCCCAGCCGCCGACGCAAAAAGAGAGTGTGTGTGTGTGTGTGGATATCGCGGCCCAGGCCATGATGTCTCCAGATCTTCGGGGGCGGCAAAGAGGGGGGTGATGACTCGGGGTGTGTGGATATCATGGCGTGGGCCATGACATTTCCCCAGATCTCATGGCGCCTCTTCTTCTTTCATTGCGTCCCTGGCCCCCCCCCCTCTGGGGCCGAGCACATGCCGCCGGCCATGATCTGCCCCCCCCCCTCTTGGACGCCCCCCTCTCTTGGCCGCCCCCGAGCTCTCAGGGCCCCCCCCCTCCTCGCACCTCGGCACGTCCGCTGGCCCCCCCCCCCCCCACGTGGCCCGCGCGCGCGCCTCGGGCCGTGACCTGCGGGCCCCCCTCGGGGCCCCGCGGCGCGGCGGCGGGCCCCGAGGCGTGGCGCAGAGGCGCAGAGGCGTGGCGGCGGACGCAGAGGCAGCAGCGTCAGGGCCTCCCAGGTGGGGTCGGAGTGCCCAGACCCCCTCGGGTCAGTCTTAAAAATCGGGCGTGTCCCTCTACAGGCGGAATCTATTCGAGAGCAGTCAAAGAATAGTCCGGGGACGGTTCTCCTATGATCTTTGACTAGTCGAGGCTATTTCTTTAGTGTTTTTTTATATTTTTCGTCCAAGGTCCGCCTGTAGGGGGACATGCCCGATCTGATTTTGTCGGGAGGTTTTCCCGTATTGTCGGCCTGTGGAGGCCCTTGCCGTCTTTCGGGGCCGCCAAGAAAAACGATCCAGGACGAGGAACCGGTCCCGGGGAATGGGTCGAGACCTCTGAGGGCCGATTTCTGCGAAAAAGCATGACCTCGGGGGTCTGGGCTGATGGGGTCGGAGGGTCGCGCCGCCTCGCCGATGCCTCGCCGATGCGGCTCGTTGTGGACAGCTCTCTCCACGCCCGGCGTCGCCGATGCAGCGGCGATGCGGCGCGATGCTCCGACCCCGTCCCTTCCTTGGACCCCAGCTGGGAGGCCCCTCGTGTGGCGCTGCGGGCGGGCGTGGGCCACGGCGTCGTCGAGGGCGTCGCGCGTGGGGGTTGGCTTTATGTCGGGCCTGTCTCCCTTACAGGGGGATTTTCGACGAGAAATAACAGATACCCCACAAATACTAGAAAAATGCTCCAAAAATGGTCTGGGGACTTTTTTTCTATTGCTGGGGACTTTTTTTTGTTGTTTTACCTTTTTGGGTTATTTTTGGGGTCTTTTTATTTTTTCGTCGAGCATTCCCCTGTAGGGGGGCACGCCCGACATAAGGTTAGCTGCCGGTGGAGTGCCTTCGGAGAGATCGCAGACAGTGCGGGGTCCCCCAAAGTCCCGATTCTCTCCCCAGGGCAGTTTTTTCGTGCCGAGTTGTTTTTCAACGGTCCCGGGGGCCCGGCGAGGGCCCCCGGAGGCGGAGAGCGGTGACAAAAACCTCCGTCGTGAGTTCTCGTCCAGGACTTGGGCATGTTTGGGAACGATCTGGTAAGCTTTGCCCCCCCCCCCCCCCCACCCCTCCTTGGGGGGGGGGGCAAAGCTTTGTCATCCCCCCCCCTTGGGGGGGAGATCGTTCCCCCCCCTCCTCCTTGGGGGGGAGGAACGATCTGGCACGTCTGGGCACGATCTGGTAAGCTTTAACCTGGGCGTGTCTGGGAACGATATGGTAAGCCTGGATGGACTCCCTCCGAGAGGCTGCGGGAGTGGCTGTTCTGGCACCTCTCGCACGGGGTGCGGCCGATCTTCCTGCGGTGGGAGGGCCCGCTCGCCGCCGCGCAGGGCGCCGAGCTGGCGGGGCCGCGCGAGCGGGGCGAGGTGGTGCTGAAGGTTGCCGTGAAGGAAGCGGGTCCTACGGGAGACGGGCCCTCCGAGGAGGACACGGCTGTACCCTTGCCTCGCTTTCCCATTCCTGGGCCTCCTGGGAGGCCCTCGTCGCCACCGCTGGACTCGCCTCGAGATTCTGGTCAGGGCGCGCCCCGGGGGAGGTCCGGGGAGCAGCGGGTATCGGTACCTCTTGGCTCCTCCAGGTCCCGAGAGGTCCCTCGCCGCATTACGGGGGGGCCCTCCGCGCGCCAAGGTACAGTCGGACAACGACGCGGGGTGACGAGGTGGTCCTGGGGTCGGGGGCGGCCACGAGGGGGGTGACGAATGGGGGGAGTGGATATCATGGCGTGGGCCATGATATTTCCCCAGATTGCATGGCGCCTCTTCTTCTTTCATTACGCCCCTAGGCCCTAGGCCCCTCCCCCTGGGCCGCGCTCATGCAGCCGGCCATGATTTGTTCCCCCCCCCTCTTGGACGCCCCCCTACTTGTCCGCTCCCGATGGGGCCCGTTTCTTCCGTCCTGCTGAAGGTGGTGCCGAGCGTGGGCCATCTGTCCAGCGGGTTCTCGAAGAACAGCTGCACAAACACAGATTGTCGGAGCTCCGCGCGGATTCCTGAGACATTCGCGCGGACCTCCGAAAGTTGATTCTCCACCCGGCAGGTTGGGGTCGTCATATTCAGGTAAAAAAGAACTCCCGACCCGCCTCGCGGCCGTCACCACTGAGAGGGTCACCGGTTCTTCGTGATCGAAGTTTGAGGATCATGGCTCGAGGATGTTTTTGGACGTCTGAGGTCGGTTTGCGCGAGCAGTGGCGTGGGCAGCTCACCATGAGCAGAAATTGATTGCGCACCATAGATTGCCAGAGGCACACTGTTTTGGGTCCGCGCTGGCTAACGTGCTGTATTGTTTTGATGCCTTCAGGTTCAGCTCCGTGATGACCCGCCAGGTCAAGTTTGTGCACAGGTGTTTGGCGGAGGCGCGGCAGCTCGGCTGCGACTTCCTGCTCCACCTGGACGACGACGAACTGTTGTGCCCGATCGGCGAGTCTTGCTCGATTCCGGACGTGCTCGCCCGCCACGCGGGGAGCACTGCCAGGTGCATCCATTTTGAGAACTGGGAGGCCGTGCTGCCGTTCGCCGAGGCCCGAAGAAGAAAATGTCATGAACATCAGCTTTCGGAGCTTCGCGTGGGTTTGCTGGACTGGCGCTGGACCCCCTGGCGGCGCCTCCGGCGCCGCCGCTGGCGCGCTCCGCGCGCCAGGGAGGGGCGCCACCGCAGATCCAAGAATTTTTCGGCTGACCTCCCAAAGCGTTTGTGTTTATGTGTTGTGAAGGCCTGGCGGCCGGTGCCGCCGACCCTGCAAGACATCGACGACGACAAGGAGGGGGAGGGGAGGAGGTGGAGGAGGAAGGAGGTGGAGGAGGAGGAGGAGGAGGAGGAGGAGGAGGAGGAGGAGGAGGAGGAGGAGGAGGAGGAGGCGGAGATAAGGAGGATGAGGAGGAGAAGGAGGATGAGGAGGAGAAGGAGGAGGAGGAGGAAAATGACTCCTAGCTGACCTCCGAAAGCGTTTGTGCTTACGTATGTTTGTTGATCCTCTGGAGGCCACCTCGCGGCCGTTCTCGCGCCCAGGCGTCGAGTTCCGGACGCGCGCGCAGGTGCTCTACTGCAACGGGAAGAGCGCCGCCAACCTGGCGGCGCCAGGCAGCGTGTACTGCAGCGGCGTGCACCATTTCTGCCGTTACAACAGGCTGGGGGCTGCTAATTCGGCGTCACCCCAACATACTTATACTATATGCACCGAGAAATCTTATAGTATATGCGTCGTGGTTGGCGCTTTCTGGCCACATCGCTCGGGAAACGATATACTACAAGATGGGTATACTATATGTTCGGGTCGGACGCGCGCCACCAAGGTGGACATACAGTACTAGTACGTCTCTGCGCGTCCCACTAAAAGTGTCCCTGGCCCAAGGTGCCCTCAGCTTTTCGGTCCATTCTGGAGGCCTGGAGCCCTCTGGGCCTCGTCGGGGGTGCTCCTGAGACTCTGGGGGCTTCTGTGTATCTCCCGATGGCACCTTGGGTCAGGGACACTTCCAGCAGCACCCGAGCAGGACGTTCTCGGACATCTGCGTGGCCCAGTACGGCCTGCACGACAAGGCTCAGGAGGGAAAAACAACACAGACACAATTCATCGTCGACCCCCAGGAAAATAGGGGAAAATATGGGAAGTGGGGGGGAAGACAAAAGCCCCGGAAATATAGGAAAATGGGGGGCATCCTTTTACTTGTGTGCATTTATTTGTGTGTCCCAGGGCCCCTTCAAAGGCCGAGGGCTGCTGCCACCCGGACTGCTGCGCCCGGGAGCCCGCCGCCGTCGTCCTGCACTACGACAGCCCCAGCCTCCAGGAGTGGCGCGGCAAGTTCGCGGCCCGGGCGGCCTCGAAGATGTGCCGGGAGGACTCGGGGCCCCCAAGCAGCGAAGCGGCCGAGGCCGAGGCAGGATCTCTATATGCACCGGGGGTTGCGCTGGTTCTGCCTGGGTGATCGTTTTCTTCTGCACTGTTCTGCCGATCGGCGCGGGCCCTCGCAGCCTCCCCCTCCCCCCACCCATGGAGTAGATCTTGGGTGTCTTTAGCGCCTGTTGCAAGCAGGTGGGGTCTCACCCGTAGGTCGTACTGCTACAAACAGTCGCACTAAGCAGAGGTCAAGGTCCAGGCCCCCCCCTTCACCCCCCCTTCCTCCCAATGTCGAAACGCCGAATGAGAAAACGTTCACTAAGCAGATCGTGTGCCAAATCGAGGGTCGGTGTCCCACCTCGGCTGTCTCTCGAAGCATGTAGCGCCCGGTCACGCATGGCAGTGCCATCTGCGAGCACAGAAGTCGTTGCTCTTGGCCTCCAGGGCAGTAGGGTCTTCCTCCTCCTCCTCCTCCTCCTCCTCCTCCTCCCTCCTCCCCCCTCCTCCTCCTCCTCCTCCTCCTCCTCCTCCTCCTCCTCCTCCTCCTCCTCCTCCTCCTCCTCCTCCTCGGTAAAGAAACAAAGATTGCACCGTGTGGTGAGACAGTGGGGATTCGGGGTGACTGCACGCTTTGCGGTGGTGCACGGGGCCGCGCGGGGACGCCGGTGGGGATCCCGAGGTCACCGCACGACCTGTTGCCGCACCGCTCTGGGCCCCCCGAAGGACGAGGAGGAGATGAAGATATTCAGCTGCCTACGGCAAGTCCCGCCACCGTGCCTGGGCTGTGGGAGGCCCCATGGCCGCCCAGGGACCCCTCTGGGAGCATGGCCGGTGCACGCGACGAGGTTCGGCCCGAGAGGGGGGGGGGGTCCCTCAGAAGAATACGAAACCCTGAGATCCGACGTGGCGAAGAAGTACAGCATCGTAAAAAGTAAGGACGCCCGGAGCCCCAGACCCCATCTTGCTGCGCCGCTTTGCGAGCTGGATCGATCCGTGAGGGTCCCGGGGCCCGAAGGAAGGCGAGCACGCCTGGCTCGAAAAAATTGGGACGCCAGGATCTCGGGGGAACCGTACCGGACAGCACTTGGCACTCTCGTTCGCCTCAAAGTGCCAGGGGGGCACGGTGGCGGATTCCCCTTCAAGAAGGAGTCCGTCCGCGTGCTGCGGAGGCTGGGGGGCACGGGCGCCCGGGCGGCCGCGGCGCAGGAGCGGGTCTACCGCTGCTGGCGCTGCCTTCCTGGGCGCAGCGAGGACTCGGGAGGGATCTAGTAGGAGATCGCCTGCGAGCTGATGTGCCCCACACATTGCATGTTTCATAGCATCTGCGACAACATACACAGAATGTTCGTCGATCTATAAACCTCTATTACTTGTTCGAAGACTCGGCGAGAAGTCAAGTTTTGGGTACGTCAGTTCTGTCGTCGATCTCTTACTCGAAGGGAGAGAGAGAGAGAGAGAGAGAGAGAGATCCGAGACGGGATTTATCCATAGCCACCGCCTGGGGGATCCATCTTCGGGAACCTGCACAGGCGGTGGATATGGATGTATTCGGGCCTCCGAGGGGCCAAAATAGATCCATACCCACCGCCCGCCAGGGCACCAGGACGTCGGTTCCCAGGTGGTGGATATGGATATAAATCCCCGCCTCGCAGGAGCACCCCCTCTGGAGCGGCGCGGCGCACGATGCATCCTCCAGAACCGCTTGATCTCAGAGATCCCGCTCCGATGTCGTGCCTGTGCTGGCTTCGTCTCACGTCAGCGTGCCTCGCTTCAGCGGGGGCGCGCCTCGAGACAGAGCGAGTGCCTCTCGTCAGAGCACGCGCTCTTCGCTCCGCGCGCTGCGCGGCGACTTCCCGCGGCCCTCGCCGAAGCCGCTGCGCGCAGGGCGGTCTGGGCTCCGCCCCTTCGCTTGCATCTCCCGGCGGCTCTGACGGCAAGGGCTCCCTCGGAGGTCCCCTCCTCCTCCTCCTAATCCTCCTCCTAATCCTCCTCCTAATCCTCCTCCTAATCCTCCTCCTCCTCCTCCTCCTCCTCCTCTCCCGTCCTCCCTCCTCCCTTCCGCTCCACACGACTGTTCGCACGCCCCGCGTGCATCCCGCAGTACCTCGGAGGCCACGGCCCCTCGGGAGGAGGAGGAGGAGGAGGAGGAGGAGGACGCTTGCTCCGCAACCACGGCGAATACATCAAGCCACGCGTGAATCAGTATGATTGTGGTCGAACAAATCGTGAGCCAGCGAGGACCCCAAACAATGTGCCTCTAGCTATCTATGTTGTGCTATCGATGTGGAGCAATATACGTGGCGAAAACGTGGAACAGAAAATGTGGTGCAATCTAGGTGGTGCACTTTTTGTTGTGCAATCTACGTCGTGCCCTCTACGATGCTCAACATAGGTTGTGCAATCTATTTGGGGCAATGTATGTGGTGCAAGCTGTGTGGTGGCAGAGATGGGCTGCAATATTTGCTGTGGAAATTATGCTATGCAAACCAGGTTCTGCCATCTATGTGTTCCAAAATCTGTTGTGCAACCTATGTCGGCCAATATTTGTTGTGCACTCGACGTCGTGCAATCTATGCGGTGCAATATCTATATATATATATATGCATATAAATATACATGATGTGCAACCTATGTGGTGCAATCGATGTTGTGCGATATAGTTGTTGCAACCTATGTCGTGTCATCTATGTGGAGCCATGTGCATGGTGCAATCTATGTTGCGCACCCTGTGTTGTTCAATCTTTGTGGTGCAAACTCTATGGTGCAATCTATGTTGTGCAGTTCATGTGGTGCAATGGATGTGGTGTAATTTACGTGGTGCAATTTATGTGGTGCAATTTGTGTGGAGCAATTTTTTGGTGCAGTCCAGGTTGTGTGCAGTCTATGTCGTGCAAGGTATCTTGTGCAATCAATGCGGTGCAATGTATGGTGCGCAATCTAGATGTAGTGCAATATATGCTGTCCAATCTACGTGTTGCAATAGTGGGATGGTCGCAGAACCAGTTCCTTAGAAAAGAGGTTGGGCAGCCTACGTGGTGCAGTCCAGAGGCAGGGATTGGCGGCGACTAGGCGGCGATTGGGCGGCGACGGTCACAACCTAGCCGCCAGACCGCCACACCGGCCCATACGACGGGCGGCGACGAGGCGGCGACGGGGCGGTCACGGCGACAACATAGCCGCCAGGCCGCCACACCTGCCCAGTTCCATCGAGGAGAAGTAAAAAACACCTCAATGCAAGCACTGTTTTGGGAAAGCAGCATGCGCATAAACTTTTGTAGCTCCGCGCGGTTTTCGTGGATCGGCGCTGGACCCCCCTGCCTGTCGCGCGGATCGCTGCATGGGGGCGGCGCTGGAGGCGCCGCCATGGTTATGATGTTCCAACCTAATTCAGCCTTGATCGCCAGGAGGAATTTCGAGCACCAGGAAAATACCGAAATTAGAGAGTTTTGACCTGTCGGGCCCTGGGAGCTGATACTCTCTCGACACTGTTTCGATACTTCTCTGTGTGCTCGAAGCGAACTTCTGTTTTGGGATGCGGCCCTTAAGTATTATAGGAGCAGCATATCGCCAGGGAGGTCAGCGCCGATCCAAGAACTCCGCGCGGAACTCCGACCGTTTGTCATCAGAGCGCCTTGCGTCCCTCTGTTCGAGCTGGTCAGCGATTCCTCGGCGACGCGCAGAGGGGGGGTGGGGGGAGGAGGAAGGCGTCTTAGAGGCACCCCTGCTTCCCAGAAGGCGCGGGCTCTATCCGCAGATGCAGGGCCTCGGCACCTCCGCAGAAGCAGCCGCCTTCTAAGACGCCTTCTCCCCTCCCCCTCCACCCCCCTGGTGCGCGCCGCCACATCCTTGTAAGAGTCGCAGGCCTAGAGATTGACACCAACACCAACATCGGCGGGGTGCATCCACCGAGGGAAGAAGATCCCGATCTCGGCGATGGTGGTAATATTCTGGCTTCCAAGGTGACCGAAAGATTGCCACCATCACCGAAATCTAGGATCATCTTCCCCCTGTGGAGGCACCCCCCTGTGTTGGTGTTGGTGACCATTTCCAGGCCTCCAAAAGAGGCGCCCTCCAGAGTCAGGAGGGGACAAAAAACACACAGACACAACTAATCGTCGATTCCCCAGGAAATATGGGAAAATATGGGAAGTGGGGGGGAAGACAAGAAACCATAACATATGGGAAAATCTGGGGAATATCTTCATTTGTGTGTATTTACTTGTGTGTCCCAGGGCCCCTTCGCAGAGGACGTCTTCGACGCGCGGCTCCGCGGCGAGGACGTGCTCGCCCGCTTCGCGGCGCGGCTCCGCGAGGCGCGCGGGGAGCCCGCCCAGGGCGGCGGCGCCCCTGCGGCGGGGCCGCCCGGCTAGCCGAGCGGCGGCGGCCGGCGGCAGCGTCGGGTCTCTCGGGACGAAATTCCGGCTCTGTGGGAGGGGTTCAGACCTCTGAGGGGCCGCGTCGCGAAACTCTCCCGACGCCGGATGTTTTCCAGGGAGGAAGAACCACCCAGACCCCGACGATTGGCGTTTACTGAGCAGCCCAGGGCGATTCCTAGATTGCCCTGCCCTGTTTGATTCCTTCCTTGGGTGCGTTTACGAGACGGCTTCGCCCGTCGCGGTGCTTCTTAGGGAAGTGTTTTTCTGCCCTCTGTGTTTGGCCAGGGAGGTCAGAGCCAAGACCCCCGACGTCATGATTTTTTCATAACGTCGACCCTCCTCCTCCTTCTCCTCCTCCTCCTCCTTCCTCCTCCTCCTCCTCCCTCCTCCTCCGCCTCCCTCCTCCGCCTCCTCCATCCTCCCTCCTCCTCCTTCTCCTCCTCCTCCTCCTCCTCCTCCTTCTCCTCCTCCTCCTCTCTCCTCCTCCTCCTCCTTCTCCTCCTCCTCGCCTCCTCCTCCTCCCTCCTCCTCCTCCTCCTCCTCCTCCTCCTCCTCCCCCCTCCTCCTCCCTCCCCCCTCCTCTTCCTCCTCCTCCTCCTCCTCATTCCCCTGGAACGGTTTTTCATCCTGAGCCGGTTTTTTAGACGGTCCCGAGGCCCGGGACGGGCCTCCAGAAGCCGACAATTCACCAACAACTCCCGTCGTGATTTTTTCATTGCCCGAGGGGGGGTCTGATGATGATGATGATGATGATGATGATGATGATGATGATGATGCTGATGCTGATGATGATGATGATGATGATGATGATGATGATGATGATGATGATGATGATGATGATGATGATGATGATGATGATGATGATGATGATGATGATGATGATGATGATGATGATGATGATGATGATGATGATGATGATGATGATGATGATGAGGAGGAGGAGGAGGAGGAGGAGGAGGAGGAGGAGGAGACTCCGACGCCGCTGCACTTCTCTTCGCCGTGTCTGAGTTCGCCTCGAAGTCCCCGTCGGACAGCAGCCCTCTGGAGAGGCCCCTCGCGACGAAGGGCCCCCGCGGCCTGGCAGCGGAGCGGCCGCTGGCGGCTGCAGGGGGCAGCGTAAGAGAGGGGAAGTACCCTTTGCCTCAAGCAGTGGCGAAGCGTCCTGGCTCGCCTACAGCAGGGCTCGTTTCGATTCCTCCGGTTCGATCCAGTTCGATTTCGATGGATTCCGATTCCGATTCGATTCGATTTGGGATTCCGGTGTGGGCTCCGACTTCTCACTGGAGGCCTACTAGCCTGCCGATTTCCGCATGATTCGACTTTTCCTGACTCGGCTGCCGATTTCCTCCGATCCGATCTATTTCGATTGCCGATCCGATTTATCGATTCGATTCTGGGCTCTCCTGCCATAGGCCCACCAAATAATGCTCAAAGAACTTTTTTGTGGTCTGCACGAGATGTTTTTTAGAACACCTCTGGCTGAGACTGTCTTGTTCTAGCACATCGGGCCTGTGTTCTAAGAACAGTTTTGTTGCTCTTAGAACACTTCTGGATGCTAACAACAATTCATCGTGGTCGGCCTATAGGAATGCCGGGACGGTCGGTCCCTGCTCAAATGCCCTTGATAATGACCGGGTGGGGATGATCAATTTCGGAGTTCGGGGGGGATCATATATTTTTCTCCCAACAACTCGTATGCACGATGAGTGAGGGAAGCTGAGATGGTGAGAACCCCATAGTTCTGCCACGCGTTCGCGAGAGTGGCGCCACTCAACATAAGCGGATCGCACCTTCGATTCGTATTTTCCCCAGCGGTGACGGAGTTTGGCCTCGCCGCCCCTTTTCACCCCGACCACTTCTGTCCTGGCCCGGGACAATCAGCTTTCAGGGGCTAAAGGGGGTATGCTGTATTATCTGGCGTGCTCGGTTAGTTTCGAGTTCGAGGTTCGAGGTGTTCGGACGTTTTCGTCGGTTCTCGGCGGTCTTCCAGCCTCGGGGTGCTCTTCAGTGCCTTGGCCTCGCCGAGAGTCGTTCGGGAGCGCCCGGACCCTCCCGAACGGCCGTCGGAAGCTCGAGTTATGACCCGAAGGCCAGGCGGCGAGGATCACTGGGGGGATATCGACTAGACGTAAGAGTGACCCTTCGCCGGAGTGACCTTGGGTGCGGGCACAGATGGGTCCCCAGATGGCTGAGAACGAAGCAGCGGCAGCTGCCTGCGCGCCCAGGTTTGGTCCCCCCACGGCCCCCCAAAAGCCGAGCACCAGAGGTCGCTCTTGCCCAGGGTCGCTCTTGCGTGTAGCCGAGGATTGCCTAGCTTCGACCTGAAGAGGTGCGCTCTCGACCCGCGAATCAAAAAAGTGTAGCCGAGGACAGGCGCAGGGGCCCATCGGGGAACGCATCGACCCATGATCGATCCTCGATCGCCGAGGCGGGCCTGAGGGCCCACCCCGCCCAGGAGAGCGTGCGGCTTCGCTGCCGGGGGCCCGCCGCCGACCTCTCGGCCCATCGTGCCGTCGCCTCGAGCTCGACGCTGCCCCCCCCCTCCTCCTCCTCCTCCTCCTCCTCCTCCTTCTCCTCCTTCTCCTCCTCCTCCTCCTCCTCCTCCCCCTCTCCTCCTCCTCCTCCTCTCCTCCTCCTCTCCTCCTCCTCCTCCTCCTCCTTGCCCCCCGCCGCTGCACCTCGGCCTGGGAGCGACGGGGGGAGGAGGACGCAGCTGCCGGCATGCACGGAGAGGGCTCCACTCTCGCGTTCGGCTGCACCCAAGGAAGACAACAAGGCCATTAGCATAGACTTGTGGCGCTCCGCGCGGGTTTCGTGGAGCCGCGCTGGGCCCCCCTGGCGGCTCCGCGCGCCAGGGAGGGGGGGCCAGCGCGGATCCAAGAAGTCCGCGCGGAGCGCCAAACGTTTATGCTCATGCCGTTGTTTCTTCTTAGATGGGCTGCCGCCGCTGTGCCCCGTCGGGTTCCTGCCAGACTGGCAGCGCAGCCCCTGGGGGGAGGAGAGGTCGTGGCGGAGGAAAAGGCGCGCGCCGTGCACTCTGCGCACGGGCGTGCTTTTAGCGCCTGCACGCCCCAGGTGCGCGGCCTGCTCCCCGTGGCCGAGGCACGGGGTCTCGGGCTCCACCCTGGCCCCGGACCCCCCGGCGGAGGAGGAGGAGGAGGAGGAGGAGGAGGAGGAGGAGGAGGAGGAGGAGGAGGAGGAGGAGGAGAGGAGGAGGAGGAGGAGGAGTGAGGAGGAGGAGGAGGAGGAGGAGGAGGAGAGGAGGAGGAGGAGGAGGAGGAGGAGGAGGAGGAGGAGGAGGAGGAGGAGGAGGGGGAGTGGCAGCCCCTGGGGGGAGGAGGACGGCGGAGAACAGAAGGCGCGCTCCGCGCACTCGGCGCACCGGCGTGCTTCTGCTGTCTGCACGCCCGCGCGCGCCCGGCCTGCTCCCCGTGGCCGAGGCCAGGGGTCTCGGGCTCCGCCCCGGCCCCGGGCCCCCCGGCGGTGGGGCTCAAGGAGCGGGGGGCGGCCAACCCAGACGTGATCGGGTCGTAAAAAGAGATCGGCGGCCCCCGTGTCGGGGCGAGGCCCTCGTGTCGCGGCGGCCCCCGTGTCGGGGCGAGGCCCTCTGTCGAGGAGGGGCACGCGGCTCCCCGGCCCCGCCCCCCGCTCGGCGGCGTGGACGTGGCTCAGAACTGCATATGCCCAGATCCCCTCGAGTCATGCCATGATAAAATCACGACGGGAGGTGGTTCCATAGTTTCGGCCTCGGGGGGCCCTCGCCGGGCGTCGGGACCGTCAAACAACGAATCAGAATGAAAAACCGACCCCAGGGAAAGGGTCCGGACTTCCAGGGACCCCGCATTGAAAAAATCAGGACGTCGCCTGTCTGGGAAGGGCGGTATCATGGCGGGGGCCATGATGCCTCCCCAGATGTCATGGTGCCTTCTTATTTCGTTACGTCCCCGGCCCCCCCCCCTTCCCTTGGCCGCGCACATGCCGCCGGCCATAAAGATATGCACCCCCCCCTCTTGGACGCCCCCCTCTTGGCCGCCCCCGAACGGAGAGCAGGTCGGGGACATCTCGGGGGCCGCGGTTGCTCTTTTTGGGAAGTGTTTGGGCCCGCCTCCGATCCTGACCCCAGGAGGTCTCCGCAGGTTCTCTCGGCCCCCCTGGAGCCCCGCAGCGGCTTCTAGCAGGGGCCAGGGCCGAGGAGGCGCGGTCGTGGACTGGGGCGCGCGGACTGGCGGTGGGTCCTGCTTCCGTGCGGAATCGGGGGGCATGCGCCTCATGTTTCACGGGGTGCTCTCCTCGACCCACGGGTCCGTACTCCATGTCAGCGCGCGCTCCACAAGCTCGTCCACGAGCCTCCCTCCTCTTTCCTCGAGGGCCGCGGGCAAGACTGAGCACTCTTCCCACCTCGTCCCCAGACATCCGACGATCTGATTCTCTCAGTCCTCGGCTTAAGTCGGGCGTGTACCTCCTACAGGAGGCACATCCTGAAATAGTCGCACAACAAGAATCAGGGGACGATTTTTCTACTAGGTTGGATCATGTTGGGGGTGGTGTTTGACTATGTTGTATTTTCCGTCCCAAGTCCGCCTCTAGGGGGACGTGCCCGACCTCATCCTCGGCCCCAGAGCTCCCGACCCCCTTCCCCAGGGTGGGGCTGTTCTTCGTCCACGAGCCGTCCTCGCTGACCCCTGCAGGGGCCCAGGCACGCGCCCGGGAGGCCGGGCGTTTCGGGAGACGCGCCGGGCTCGAACCCTCGGACCGCCGGAGTTATGGGCCCCCCTCCCTCTGGAGCACGCGCAGCTGGGGGGTCGACAAGTTGGGGGGGGTAGCGGCGGCCGCCGAACAGGGGGCCCCGGAAGGGGCCCTTCAGGACCAGAAGGGGGCCTTCAGGGCCCGAAGGTATCACCGTTCTCTCCCCCCCCCCCCCGCCTCCTCCGTTTTGCCGCCCCCCTATCACTTCGCGCCCACTTCTTCTCGATCGTCGCGCACTTCCTCGCACTGCCGGATCGCCGCGTCCGGAGCCGC